TTCAGTGTTTTCTTTTTATTTTCTTCACATAAATAAATACATTTCTAATATGAACACTTTCTCAGCTAAATTTTCGTATAAACAGAGGCAAACTACCCTAAATATTTTCTTACATTCTTCTGCACTGAGGTATCACAGTTTGTTTTTTGTCTCAAAGAAGTGGTCAAGTCACTATGGCCACCTTGGGCACTGAGCCATCAGGGGGATCAAATACTATATAGATAGTGAGACCACAGTCGATGCATACTGTTGTCAGGAGGAAGGTGTGGACGTTGACGGTAAATCTGGAAGGGCACAGTTCCTCATAACACATTGGGCACTCCTCGATGGAACGGCGACTTACATAGTAGTAGCCGTCTGTCGGTGTATCCAGGAATCCAGTTATGATGAGTTCAGTTTTTTTGGATTCCAAGCTCTCTCCTGCATTTTGTCCCGACAATGGCACCGACTCGCTCATTTGCACTTTATGAGATAATCGGGGTGAATGGGATAACATTTCTGGCTCGCCACCTTCCGTGAAGCAGGAGTCTATCGAAGGGTCAGCAGTATATATGTTGCTAGTTTTGTAAGATTTTGATGTAATAGAAGAAACTTTCGGCTTCTTAGTCAGAGGAACACCTTGCGACATGAACGGTGCATGTTCTTTACTAGAGAGAGCTGAAGTAACGCTGGTTCTTTCCCTCTTGTTTGCATGGAAAATATGGAGCATTTTTTGAAACCGGAGCTTGTCTAACCATTTCTTGCACTGTAAAATGGCCAGCGACCAAGGTTCCTTTCCTTTGAGTGATTTCAGTTTCGACAAGTATGACGAAAGTCTAAGTGCAGCTCTAGTAGAGTGCATTTTATCACCGTTTCTGCCACTGAGGCTACATGATATTTTGTTGTGCAGATACTTGAAGGGTCTGCTAAACTTGAATTTATGAGAACAGGTGCTACTCAAGGTCTCTTCCCGAAAACGGTCACACGACATAACTCTCAATTCACACACTGTACATCCCACTTCGCCAAAGAAGAGGTGTCCCGTAAAATGGTCGTCGACGCACTCCTCGCCACACGTGTAACACTTCAGGAAGATCTTCGTGATTTTAGACTTTGAATCTGAGCGATCTCTTCTGTCACTTGGTGGGACTTTGGGTTCGGTTTCATTTCCCAGAGCGCGATGTCCATTGTCTCTCACTGTTTGGGAATGATTCAGTACTAGTCGTTTCTTATCTACCTTTGCACGAAGGAAAGCCAGGTCACTTGTAGAGGTACAAAACCCATTGATGTTATTGTTAATGGATATACATTTCTCTATACATAATTTGCTTGAAGCGTTACGGTCTTGCCAGCCTTCTGCAATGCCATGTCGGTTATTCGGGACTCTCCAAGACGGCTGGTAGAAGAGTGTTTGTTCCTGAGAATCCCAACCCATTTTTGTGGTCAACGACGTGCCGCTCATTTATACAGGGTCCTGAAATTGTAAAATTAAGATTCGTCAGATTGTTGATTCCATGTTAACAAATTCGATATCAATATCTAATATATAAACAAATGCATACAAATATTTTATATACAGTATCAGTGCATCTACACTCCAAGCTACTGCACTGCATTATGGTGAACGTGTTATTGTAATATCATGACGGCTGTATCTATTGAACAGGTATTTTATTTTACTTTGTGTTTTAGCCTGAAGAGACTTTGCACTTCCGCTTCAACATTGTTTACATGATCTAAGTACAGAAATCAGAAAATATTATATCCTTAACATTATTAGTCACAATACCCAATTGTTTCCAAACATATGAAATATATTTACCAAAATACGCCTAACGTTGATCATGAAAATATCTGTTCTCTTGAGTAATATTCCCTCAAGAACCAAAAGCAAAGATATTTACAAACACTTCGGCCACATTAGTTCCGAAGTGTGAGTTATATTCCGACAAACCTGTAAACAATCGTAATAGTTTACCGCGAAAGAATCGTTTAACGTAAACAGTTTTGTTTTGGAGGGAAAACAGACGTGTTCATAGTTAGCCTTGGTGTCCAAAGACCTCTGTAAGATGAGGCCCATGAGCACAGAGAGAGAGAGAGAGAGAGAGAGAGAGAGAGAGAGAGAGAGAGAGAGAGAGAGAGAGAGAGAGAGAGAGAGAGAGAGAGAGAGAGAGCGAGAGAGAGAGAGAGAGAGAGAAGAGAGAGAAAGAGAGAGAGAGAAGTTTTAAAATTACATTATCTGGCAGTTCCAGAGGAAAACAGGATCAGTATGATCAAAATAAGGTCACGACCCAAGCGTTTACTGTCCTAGAGCGGTTCGTCTCCTACCGTAGCGACCTCGTTTTCATAGTTGCCAAATGTCGCTAGCCTCTGTGTAAGGCCTTCGCCGTCTCGGGTCATAGGGGTGGCCAAGTGGTTTGGTGACCCCGTTTTCATGTTACTTCCCTTTGAGTGGGTCGTTTCGAGACAGATGTTAGACGGCAAGGGTTTTGCACTCATTATTTTTATTATTGCAGTATAT